CAGTCTGGCAGACAGAAAGGTTGACTTTTAGTCTGGGGAGACTGAGCAACTGTTAAAATGGTTTAAAATGATAAAGTAGGAGTATTTCAGCGTTTTAGTAAATGTTAAATAGTATATAGTATTTGATCATTGGTCATAAACAAACGTCGGAGTAAGAGTTAAAATGGTACCATACATTGTGATCCTTCTGATAGAGAAGCTAGATAGAGTTAGAATCAGAATTATTTACAGCCATTGAAAGTGACAGAAGTCACAAATTGGGAATATGCTTTGGCTCAAGCTACAGCAGAGCTTTGGGAAAAAATAGCGTAAAACTAGAAATAGATAAATGCATCAACCATAGATGCTTTCAAAATGGAGATTATTTTTAGCCAGTGTTAATATCAAGCGGTAAAAGGACCATTTCCTTCATATTATGTCCAAAAGTATTTACTTCAAAGGTAGATGAAGTTCATTACAGGTTATGCACAGTTTTATTAGATACTGTCAAATTCACTTGTTTCAAACATAGGTGAATGTTGACAATGCAAAAAGCTAATGAGATAGATTAATGAGATCGATTAGAACCAACAAAGATTCAAAAACATTTGAAAGCATTTTAATGTATTTGGGTATAGCACAAAAGTAGATCTTTAGGTATTTTTGAGAATTTTAAGAGCTGTCGATTTGTCAGCAACAGATTAGAGAATCAAAATACCGTTGTAAAGGGACTGACCCCAGAGAAACCTGCTAAAATAGATTAGCTCCTGTAAGGATAATACCAATTTGATTAATGATGAAGAATCAGAATGACACCGCAGGGGTCATCAAAGAGTTTAGTGAAGGAATGGTTAGAATGTGGTTTGTTGTGTGTGTATTCTTTCTGTATACTATTAATTCTTCACAGATAACGAGCCAGAACCAAGAACCAAGGCGATGATGGACGAGCTCCCCAGTCCCGGCACCCAGAAGGGATATTGAAAGATTGTGACCTAAATTGGTTTAATATAGGTCAACAGAGGGGAACTGTTGTATATTTTAATATTTGACCATTTGAACATCATAGCCAAAAAGACCTCTGTGCACTCAGGAAAAACCCCAAGGACACAGGATGATCAGACATGAGTCATAAAGATAAAATGCTGTTTAAACAGGGCGAATTATTAACTTTAAATAATAAACATTTTGACGAGGGCAAAAGTTCAGAACCTGATCTTGAGGCAGACTGGGAGATTCACCAACGGCATTCTGACGCCTCCCAGTGGACAAGGGACGTCAGCACACCCGGAAAACTCCACCCTTGGACGCATATGGATGACGTCATCGGAAGTCTCCCGTATATGTGCCCTCTGAGGGTTTTTTGAGGTCAGACAGGACAGGGGCAACGCACAGGGAGAGAGCAGGCATAGAATAGGAGCACTTTTGTTGAATATTCTGTATCTGATTGTAAAGATAATTAAATGCAGATGTTAAACTTGGAGAATCTTTAGTCTGATTTCTGTACCAAATTGTGGACACGTCAGCCAAAGGGAATTATTGGCTACACTTTATACTAACAAATAAAACGTAGCTAGCTCTGTAATGATATCTTCATCACTGTCACAGTCAGTCTGTGTTGTGATAACTTTGTTATATTTATAATATTGAATATAACTCCATACTGAAAGCAAGAGTGGACTTAGCTGCAAAGATGGATATTAGAGCGTTTTTCAAAGGGAAAGATTCAGGTGAGGTTTGTGTAATTTTTAGGGAAATATTAAATAGTATAAAGGATAGTAACTGACCTGCATTAGTCTGTGTCCTGAAATAACACACAGTGTTGGTCTGTGATCAGGTAAACAGACACAGCTGTGATGTCATCAGAGGATCAGAGCCTTTAGTTTGATCAGTAATGCAGAATCAGAATACATTTGTTTGTGATCTGACCTTAAGTTTTAAGTTAATAGGTGCTATATTTATTTTATAGTGTACTTCATGCATATTAAATGTGTGTTATAACTGACAGCATTTAAAGGAAAGGAGAATATTGATCAGGGGCAGAGCGAGAACAGCAGGTAAGACACTAACAACACAAATGTTGGTCCAAGCATGAGTTGTGTGAGTGATGGAATTATTATATCTTATATTTGCTTTGGGGGCCGTGTTTGAAGTTGGGGTCTTGTAATCATTTTCTTAACAAATGCGAGCACAATAGAACAAGCTGATCTTAAGATGTGACTAGTTTTTGAGGCTCTACTTTCAACCACTTCAGGATTTCACAGGTATCTGCAAAAACAGAATGTTGACTTACAGTAGCACCGTGTGGAGTGGATCCTCTCAGTGTGGGTCTCCCGGAGGTTTCTCACTTTTTTCCCGCTGGGTTTTTTTGTAATGAGTTTTTCCTCTGATGCAGGAGGGTTTGTTGGGCCGTTAGTGTTCAACTAGAAGGATGTGGTGATCCAGGACACTTTAACATTCTACATGTATGACATTATTCAACATTCATGGACATTGGTCTCTCTCTATGCACAAACTCATATTTGTATTTTTTGTGTTTTAACTGTTGATCTCTGACCTGTGTTGGTGATTTCAATGGTTTTGAGAAGTCCTCTGAGATGACTTCTGTTGTGATTTAGGGCTATACAAGAATAATTTCCTGTTGTTGTTGAGGAGCTGAAAAGATGGCGCCTCGTACGGTCAACAGGGCTCTTTGCTGCTCTCTTTTTCTTTTGTTTTTACTTTTTAACTGTGCATCTGGCTGTTCCTACACCTGTGAGGAACTTATGAACATCCGACCCACCGTCCCCATGGACCTATTGCCTGTTTTCTTGGCATCTGCGGCTGATTTAGTCCATGTTCTAGCCAAAAAAGTGTGGGCCCGTAAAAGGGGAAAGCGTGGAAGCTGCTCGTGTGTCTGAGGAGGAGAGGAGCGCGCACGGCTCTCCCCGGCATTTTTCTCTCCAACGTACGCTCACTGGGCAATAAGACGAACTCAGCCTGCTCATGAGAAGAAACAAGGACTTCATCCTGTGTTCTCTGCTTCACTGAGACCTGGCTAAATGAGCGGATCCCGGACTGCGCTCTGGAGCTGCAGGGCTTTGGGCTGTTCCGCGCGGATCGCCATTGTGCGCTCTCAGGGAAGAGCAGAGGCGGTGGGCTGTGTTTCTACGTCAATATAAACTGGTGTAACGATGTGACAGTGATCTCCAAGCACTGGAATATCTTTTCATTCATTGTAGACCATTTTACTCCCCTCGCGAAATTGTTTCATTCATTCTTGCCTCTGTTTACATACCGCCATGCGCGGACGCGCGCGAGGCTCAGCGCGCACTCGCAGAGCAAGTACTGTGTATGGAACGTTTGTACCCGGACTCTCTGATTATTATCCTGGGGGATTTTAATAAGGGAAACTTGAGCCAGGAATTACCCAAATACAGACAGTTTATCAAATGCCCGACCAGAGAGGAGAACACTCTGGATCACTGTTACACCACCGTGCGCGGAGCTTTTCGCGCTGTTCCCAAGCCAGCCCTCGGCTTCTCAGATCACTCCATGATACATCTGGTTCCTGCTTACAGACAGAGACTAAAGCTCTCGAAACCTGCAGTGAGGAGCTCCAAAGTGTGGTCTGATGAAGCTGTGGAAGAGCTGCATGCATGGAATCTACAGACTGGGACCTTTTCAGAGCTGCCACAGACAGTTTGGATGAATACACGGACACTGTGACGTCATACATTCACTTCTGCGAGGATAGCATCATTCCAACAAGGACCAGGGTCATCTATAACAATGACAAACCCTGGTTCACTGCTAAACTCCGGCATCTCAGGAAAGCAAAGGAGTCTGCTTTCAGGGAGGGGGACCGCAGCGGCTACAAAGCAGCTAAATATCAGTTCAGGAAAGAACTGAAAGCAGCCAAGTCCCGGCACAGAGAACGACTACAGGAGCAGTTTGGTAACAACGATACTGCTTCTGTCTGGAGGGGCCTACGGGAGATCACCAACTACAAACCCAAAGCCCCCCCCTGTGCTGACGACCACAAGCTAGCTGACGATCTGAACTTATTTTTCAGTCGCTTTGATGCTGCCCCTGACACCTCTCCCTCCCCCCCCCCCCACTACTCTAACAACCCACCCATCAGCCCTGCCCCCAGCCTAACAATAGCCGCTAAAGAGATTAAACAACTCTTCCTGAGGCTGCACCCCCGCAAAGCTCCTGGCCCGGACCACGTGTCTCCGGCCACTCTGAGACACTGCGCCAGTGAGCTTACTCCTGTGTTCACGGACATTTTCAACACCTCTCTGCAGTCCTGCCATGTCCCGGCCTGCTTCAAATCCTCCATCATTGTCCCCGTCCCGAAGAAGCCCAGGATCACAGGACTCAACGACTACAGACCTGTAGCACTTATGTCTGTCGTCATGAAGTCATTTGAACGCCTGGTTCTCTCCCATCTCAAGTCCCTCACCTCCCCCCTCCTGGACCCCCTGCAGTTCGCCTACAGAGCCAACAGATCTGTAGACGACGCCATTAACCTGGCCCTCCACCACATCCTACAGCACCTGGACTCCCCGGGGACCTACGCCAGGGTCCTGTTCGTGGACTTCAGCTCTGCCTTCAACACAATCCTGCCATCCCTGCTCCAGGACAAGCTCTCCCAGCTCAACATGCCCGATTCCACCTGCAGGTGGATCACTGACTTCCTGACGGACAGGAAGCAGCGAGTGCGTCTGGGGAAGAATGTCTCGGACTCTCGGATTATAAATACAGGAGCCCCACAGAGCTGTGTTCTTTCTCCCCTGCTCCTCTCCCTGTACACCAACCACTGCACCTCCAGCCACGACTCCGTGAAGCTGATCAAGTTCGCGGACGACACCACCCTCATTGGCCTCATCTCCAACAACGATGAGTCCGCCTACAGGAGGGAGGTGGACCGGCTGGTGTCCTGGTGCAGTGGTAACAACCTGGAGCTGAACGCCCAGAAGACAGTGGAGATGATTATGGACTTCAGGAAGAGCACTGTCCCCCCGCCCCCACCCTCCGTGATGGACTCCCCCATCACCTCTGTGGAGTCCTTCCGTTTCCTGGGCACCACCATCACCCAGGACCTCAAGTGGGAGCCGACCATCAGCTCCCTCATCAAGAAGGCCCAGCAGAGGATGTACTTCCTGCGGCAGCTCAGGAAAGCCAAGCTGCAGTTCTACACGGCCATCATCGAGTCCATCACCTCCTCCATCACCTCCTCCATCATCTCCTCCATCACCTCCTCCATCACCTCCTCCATCACCTCCTCCTCCATCACCTCCTCCATCACCGTGTGGTTCGCTGGAGCCACAGTCAGGGACAAACAGAGACTACAGTGCATTGTGCGCTCTGCAGAGGAAGTGATCGGCCGCAGCCTTCCATCGCTGCAGGACCTGTACGTCGCCCGAGCTCGAGGCCGGGCTGGTTGTATCACAGCCGACCCCTCTCACCTGCACATGGACTATTCCAACCACTCCCCTCTCACCTGCACATGGACTATTCCAACCACTCCCCTCAGGCAGGAGGCTGCGGTCCATCAGGACTAGAACCTCCCGCCACAAGAACAGTTTCTTCCCCTCTGCTGTTGGACTCTTGAACACTTCTTAACCTGTCCCCCCGCCCTTTATAAAGTCACTTTACTGCCCTTTATAAAGTCACTTTACTGCCCTTTATAAAGTCACTTTACTGCCCTTTATAAAGTCACTTTACTGCCCTTTATAAAGTCACTTTACTGCCCTTTATAAAGTCACTTTACTGCCCTTTATAAAGTCACTTTACTGCCCTTTATAAAGTCACTTTACTGCCCTTTATAAAGTCACTTTACTGCCCATCATACGTCACTTTACTTCACTGTACTGCTGTCACCTTACATTGTGTGCACCATGTGCACTTGTATATTGTAAATAGTAACTGTAACTCTATTTTAAATTTAAATTGATTCTTTAGAAGTGTTTTTTATTCTTATTTTTATTATCTCTTTCTGGCTGTTGCACTGAGCCAAAGCAATTTCCAAGTCTGTGACCTCCTGTTACTTACGTGGCAATAAAAATGATTCTGATTCTGATTGTTGTTGTTGTTAGCACAGGCCTTAGTTTACGAAGATGCCATTATTGATTCCCTTAAAAAGAAACCAAGTGATGTCACGGCTGCAGACATTTATACAAGATTCTGTGTGAGGCAAATGAGATTCCAGAACCTTCTTCAGGTAAACGAGCTAAGGCAAGAAAATTAGATGTTGTGGAATCCTCATGAAGGACAAGGAGGGAAGCTCTCTCCTCAGAGTCTGTGGATTATCAAAGGAAACTTTTGTTTCCTTGTTTGGATTGGATGCTGGCTGAACTTGAGAAGAGGTTTTCTGGTGTTAGTCAGATGTTGCTTCAAGGTGTTCAAGGATGCAGTGTTTTGTCTGAGCATGATTTGTCAACACTGGCCCAACATTATCACATTGATCTGAGGACAGAAGAAGTGATTGTCGCTAAAAATTACCTTAAGCCCAAGAGTGAGGCAATGCCAATGCAAGACATGCTTCAGTGTACAACCTCTTGGAAAATGAGGTGTTTCCATCCCTAAAAACAGTTTTACAGGTTGCATTCCTGTCAGCAGCTGTAGCTCTTATGACAACGACCTCTGGTCAAAGTAGGATTCACAACATGTCAGTTGAAAAGGAACTTCTTGACAAAATGGACAGATTTGCACGACTGAGAGTGAGGCACCACAGATGAACTCTTTAAGAATCAGGCCGTGTTATTTACAGTATGCTGCATTTCAGAATTTATTGTAAGATACGTTGTAAGAGCGTGTCATTTTTGTAACTAATTTTGCAGTTTGTTGTACGTTGAAGCTGAAAGTCTAAACCGCCCCTGTAGTGTTGCATGTGATGCACTAGAATGAATACATTTAATATGGTCCAATCTATTTTAAGTTTATTCTAAAATATAGATTGAGTACAAATGTGTGTAAGAGAATGAGTTTATTATTTTTTTTATGTATTTTACATTATGCAGCTGCACAAGCTAATGTAATCTAATGAACATTTTTTTGAGTCTATTGTTTTTCTCCGTTTTTCTCCGTTTTTAGACAAGGTTATTTTCTTGCAGTTTTTATGATATAGTTACACGGAGCCAGTCTCTGTCACTGAAGCTTGCACACGTGTTACACCGGACTCCAGCGACAGAGCGACGTTAGCGATCTGCTCCCGTTCTTTTCACACGGACGCTGGAGCAGAGAGGGGACCAGCAGGAGCAGAGAGGGGACCAGCAGGAGCAGAGAGGAACAGAGAGGGGACCAGCAGGAGCAGAGAGGGGACCAGCAGAAGCAGAGAGGGGACCCGCAGGAGCAGAGAGGGGACCCGCAGGAGCAGAGAGGAGCAGAGAGGGGACCAGCAGGAGCAGAGAGGGGACCAGCAGGAGCAGAGAGGAACAGAGAGGGGACCAGCAGGAGCAGAGAGGGGACCAGCAGGAGCAGAGAGGGGACCAGCAGGAGCAGAGAGGGGACCAGCAGGAGCAGAGAGGGGACCCGCAGGAGCAGAGAGGAGCAGAGAGGGGACCAGCAGGAGCAGAGAGGAACAGAGAGGGGACCAGCAGGAGCAGAGAGGGGACCAGCAGGAGCAGAGAGGGGACCAGCAGGAGCAGAGAGGGGACCAGCAGGAGCAGAGAGGGGACCAGCAGGAGCAGAAAGGGGACCAGCAGGAGCAGAGAGGGGACCAGCAGGAGCAGAGAGGGGACCAGCAGGAGCAGAGAGGGGACCAGCAGGAGCAGAGAGGGGACCAGCAGGAGCAGAGAGGGGACCAGCAGGAGCAGAGAGGGGACCAGCAGGAGCAGAGAGGGGACCAGCAGGAGCAGAGAGGGGACCAGCAGGAGCCACATGGAGAGTCTGCTCCAGCGTCCATGGGAAAAGCACAGAGCTGGTCGCTCGTGTTGCTGAGCCGCTGGAGGTTTGAAATGTAAGCTAAGCTAAGCTAAGCTAAGCTAAGCTAAGCTAACTCTGGTACTACTGCTGCAAACCAGAGAATAAAGTCTTTACTTTGAACTAAAGATGGCGGTTAGTTCAGTGCGCGCACTTTCACTGTTAGTGTCATGGCTGTAAAGATGTATTGACTGTAAAGATAAGGTTACACAGACCTGTTGTGGGGTTTGGGTTATATTTGCTCAAAGTAACACAAATTATTTTAACATGTTCTTTCCTTTCTTTCAGAGCTGAAGTGGTCAAGCCGGACTGAAGCCAGGTTTGTTTGTTTATTGTATATCTTGTGTTATATTGTTGAAAGTAATAATTGGGGCTTGTTTATAGGTCAACTCGGAATTCAACATAATTACTGGAAAAACGTCCATTGGAGAATTATTTACTTCTCTGGATGGTTTCTACCTTGGCTTTGAAGAGGTCTTCACCAGAAGGACAGAATATGAAGGCAAACATTCAAAAGCAAAAGGTGAGTTGGCTTCATAATTTAATCTTGGTACAACATGTCTCTTCTCATGATTAGAAGTGGTAAACATCTGTTTTAACTATTTGCAGAGCATGTAACTGTCAGCTGATGTTCGGACCATACAGAGGGCTTCTGTTCTTCTCGGGGACAATGCTTTTAAGTTCACCACAAGTCACAAAGTAAGTAATGTTTGAATATTCAAATTATACTTTTTCTTTTACTGGTTGATGTGTTTTCCAAATTCTAAAACATAAAAAAAGCAGATACAACCCAAAACACATATTAGGATGTTTTCACACATGTGAATGTGCTTCCTGGGAAAGATTATAGGAAAGAACCGCCCTCTCCATTTTTTTAACAACTCTGGTCTTATTTGACGAGCACAAATGACCAGAATGATTGACAATTGGGAGGACCAGTACTTGCGTTACTCTCCACAAACGGGTTACTCACTGTTTCTTCTTGTTTCCCCTTTGCAGAATGCTGCTGATGGTGACCCACATCCCATAGAAATCATAGTCAATGGTGAAAACTCAAGTCCAGAGCAAGAAGTTGGCATCCTTCTGGATTCTGCAGTCTTCCTTTGGGAAAGTGTCTCCTGTTTGGACTGACTTACGCACATCACTTGGAGAACCATAAGTGCCTGAACAAATTCTGGGACCAAGCAATTTTGAAGGTCATTAGCATGTCCTTGTTGATATCGAGGTATTGAGTGTGTTTGCCTTGACATTTTAAGTTAGTTTTAATTAAATGTATGAGCTTTAAACTACTACTAAGCAAACATTTGAGTTTTCTAATATTGACACTACTAAAACAAAAAAGTTAACTGAACATAAACATCTTAGTTCTTAAATTGGAAAACTTAAACACATTAACTGGCTATGACTCCATATAGTAATTTGTGTTTTGTTTTACTTTTTAAGTTTACTCTACTTAATCAATTCATTTTTTGCCTCAAGGCAATACTCCCTCCAAGTGTGTGGAAAAGGTTTGCTAATGAGAGTTGAGTAGTCTGAACTTCTGCTTCTTCAGAACTGACTTTTTCACAGGATTGTTTGATGTCTTCCTTTGGGCTTCTTGGCGCTTTGGTGCTGACAATAACTCTGACTCTTCTTGCTATTGCCATGGGGCCCACATTCACACAGGACTCTGATGGTGTACGATGTTTGCGGCTGCAGGTTGGAGATGGTCACAGTTTCGCCTCCAGACTCGACCTGCTCCCAGCGGACCTTCTTCTCTGTGCGCCCGTAATTCACCATGTATTTGAGGACAGTAACGTTGGGTCCCATCTCTGCTGGTTTCTTCCAGTGCAGGAACAGCTGTGTGGACTCAGCCGTGGCCTCGGGGTCTCTGGGAGGACTACAGGGAGCAGTCTTTATGGAGACCTCAGCTGAAGGACTCACTCCCACTGCGGTCACAGCTCTCACCATCAGCATGTACTCTGTGTTGGGGCTCAGACCTGCTACGGTCAGTTGTCCAGCTTCTGCTGCATGTTGCTGCTTCTGTTGATCCTGTCCTTTCTCACAGACCTCCACTCTGTATCCTGTGATGTTGTGCGCTCCCAGTGGAGGCGTGGAGAACTGCAGCCGCACACTGCTGTGACAGACTTTGTCCAGTCAGTGCCTCAGGTTCTGAAGGCGGCACATAGTCATCACTCACCAGAAGCCCGTCTTCGAAACAGTAGATGGTTGAGCGTTTAAACCTGTCTGTTAAACCCACTGCAAAGAAGCGGATGTCGTCTTTTCCCTGGTTTGCTTTTGCAAAGTGGCTGAATAGTCGAGCCTTTTGAATTATGGCTTTGTGCAGATCTTTGGAGAGGTACCACTTGTCCATTTCTGGGTCCTGAGAGTTTCGTCCTGAGGCAGAGCCTTCCAGGTGTTTCTGTAGGTCTGTGAGGAACTGGTCAGAGCTGTCCAGTGCCGTGAACACGAACAGGAGAGCATTGCGGACTCTGCCGGTCTCTTTGTACATGTGGTTCTGTGAGGGCAGCACTTGGGTGTTGGGCATGAGCTGCACGATGGACTCGAGCGTGGAGACCTCTCTCTCTGTGCACTCCAGCCACTGGTTCAGACTTGTGCTGTTAAACGGACATGACGCTCTCTTCTTCAGGATCTCTGCCAGTTCCGCCTCATCCTCTCCTCCTCCGCGAATCGCTGGGAGTTTTGTGGCTAAACTTCTTTGAAATCCCAGTTCAAACTCGTAGCAAAAAATCATGAATCTTTTAATATGTTTTATGATCTTCTGGAATTGTTGAACGGTACGGCTTTTCAGCAAATCGTTGTATCTCATCTTCAGTTCGCTGAAGTCCTCCAGCGCTCTCTGGGCCTCTTGGATCAGCCTCACACTGATCTGACGCACAAGTTTAGCAGCCACACCTTCACCGGAACGGCCTGCTCTCCTCCAGGGCCGAGCAGTCCTGGCAGCTTCTTGTAAACTCGAACTGTCTTCAAATGTCACAGGACTCTCGTCAAGAAGGAAATCCCCATGAAACTTACAGGAGAGCTTGCTGACCTTCTCTATCTCCTGGTCTTCCATCTTCAGAGATCCTTCTCCTTCAATTGAAAACATTGGTATTTTCTTAATCATCACTTTGAGGTTCCCTGAATGTCCTGCAAAATCGAAGACAAAGAAGGCGTGAGCTCCGTAGAGAATGGCGGTCACCACGTGGCCAGGCCCTTGTCAAAGACATATTGGTGCTTCATGTTGCCCTGTCCCAGATGGTTCATGGTCAGCTCCTTGAAGTGGGTGGTGGTCTTGTACTGCAGCGTGACCCTAGCTTGCTGCTTGGATGTTTTGGTGTCGTTCAAGTATTTGGCTGATCCTTCAACCTGCACAAGCCCAAAGAGAAAACTGGCTTTAAGCGAGGCCTCCACTCCCAGAGACGAGGACTTCTCCGAGATGCTCTCAGAGGAGATGATCTCAAAGGTACTGTTGGGTTGAGCCATCTCCCTCATGTCATTGTGCAGCTCCTCCAGGTCCCAGAGTGTGATCCCTGAAGACAAGACAACACTGATCATTAGAAACATCTAAAACAAGTCTTTGAATGTCAATGTCAGTCTAGAGTCGGTCTAATCAGTGCAAAGACCTAAACAAAGAGCAAAGCACCCGCTACAGAAGACCTGCTACAAGAGGGGGTTCAATAATGGGTCACCGATCTAAACAACGTCTTCCTGTGTTTTGACCCCTCCCTCTGCTCATCTGATAGTCCTAACCTACTGCAGGGGTGGAGGTTCACAGTCCTGGAGGTTAGGACAGTGAATATCTATATAATCTGGACTGGTTAAATAAGCCACGCAGAAAGAAACTTAAGGACATTACAAATGGACTACACTTGACACAAGTGATAAGCAATCCTACAAGAATAACGCCCTCCTGTCAAACCCTACTGGATTTGGTCTTCACTAATAAACTTGATCGCATTAAAAAAAGTTACAACTTACTCACAGGTTTATCAGACCATAATATCACACTGATATCCCGGAAGCTGTCAAAATATAGACATAACAATCAACATGGTACTCAACAATACTCGCCCCATATCCCCAAAAAAGACCAACCCCTGCTCGACAATGACCTAAAAAATGTCTCATGGACTGACGTCAATTGGATTAATGCAAACCATGCTTGTGATGGTCTAATCACAAAAATCAAACACATTATCAGCAAGTACACTATAACACAACCCAGAAAGAGAGGAGCTAAGATAAAAATACCTTGGATCACTGAAACAATTTGGAATTTAATGAAAAAAAGGGATTCAGCCCTCAAAAGAGCCACTAAATCCAAATTAAATACAGATCGAATGATTTTTAAAAGTTTGTGAAATAAAGTCACCATTCTACTCCGGAAGGCCAGGGCTGACTTTCACCTAGAAATGATCAAAGCAGCTAAAGGGAACATGACACAGTTGTGGAAAAGCATAGACAAACTCACTGGAAGAGGGAAAACAAAGAATGACACCATATCATTAGATATTAATGGTATTACTGTTACTGACAGTCTAGACATGAGTAACTTTTTTAGTAACTATTTCATCCAGTCTGTGCAAACCCTTAATAAGAACTTTCCACAAAATCAGTACAACGAATTGGAATTTAACCATAATGGACTCAGTTTAGAAGTAACAAATGAAACAAAAGTTAACAAAATACTCTCAACATTATCAAGCTCTAGGTCTAAGGACATACATGGTATGGACACTTTACTCATAAAAACATACAAAGATACCCTCACTGCTCCAATAACAAGACTGATAAATCAATCTATAACTGAAAACACATTCCCTGTCACACTTAAAACAGCCACTATCATTCCAATACACAAAGGAGGAAATAAACAAGACGCCAACAATTACAGACCAATAGTATCCTTCCCGTTATATCAAAAGCAATAGAAAAGGTAGTAGTTGAACAGCTCACACAACATCTGGAGGATGAAGGTCTGTTACATCCTATGCAGTTTGGTTTCCGAGCAAAGCACTCGACCGAAACAGCATGCTGCCTTCTCATTGAAACATTAAAACAAAATCTTGATAATGGAGGAGTAGTAGGAGCAATGGGCCTCATTCACGAATAACTTCGTAAGAAACTTCTCAAATTTCTCCTCAAGTTGTCCTTAAGTAGATTTCTAAGAAGTCCCTACGTGGGATTCATCAACGCGCTCTTAAGCCGCTGAATTGTTCGCAGCTGTTCTCTCAGATTGATGAATCCCATTTCCTCGTAAGTAGAGCGCGCGTGCCAGGTGCTTCATTAGCATAGGTACTTAGCATAGGTAACCGCCCACTAATGCCCATATTGACCAGATGCATTGACGTCATACAGTCACGTGACCGTGCATGAGCTGACGGCGGAAGTAGTGGAAGCTAGCATTGCGGTGAGAGCAAAAAAGAGTGTAACTCCGCGAAAAGAGCAAAACTGACTCCAACTCCTAAACATTGAGACTCCTGTCACAAATCGAGAGATGGCTGAATGTTCGATGAAGTTATCGACGGAAGTAGGACATCTCGTTGGGGTCCATAAAACGCGGTATTTGGAGAAGTTACGGATTGCCGAACTGGAAGTTGACCCGTACCTTCTCCCCCCAGTCAATTTCGTAGATTTAGTTAAATGCACAACATTGCCCGAATTCTCCCCGCATGATCTGTACCATTACGTAGTGAACAATGTATCTCCTTACACTGGTTCAGATTTAAAAGCGTACAAGAGCCTGGATGCATACCAGTTTTTTGTTGCTGGCTGGGTCACTGGGGCTCGTTGTCAAGAAAGAGGGACACGGTTCATCTTAATGGCAAAGGTAAGTAATTTCGATTGCATTATGGTGCCATTTATCATGTGTAAATTCTAGGGCTGTCAAACGATTAATTTTTTTTTAGTTGTTTAATCGCATAGTAATGGTGAGTGAACTCACTATTAATCACATTTTTAACATTCTATTTCAAATCCACTCCAATTGAAGTTAAATGAGATTATAAATGTAATGACACATTGTTATTCAGACCAAATGTGCTTAAATCTGTTTGACTTGCTCACAACCTTCTACTTTTGGGTACAACCAACAAGAGCTTTGAATGGGAAACTGTAGGTATGTGTTTGTGAGTGCGAATGTGGGACAACGGACGCAAATTAGGCTACAATCCGGAGTGATATGTTAATTAACTTGTACTGTCCCACCCAAATAAACAATAAATAAATAAACCCCAGCTTTAATTTCTCCCATAATGCCAGTTTCTGATGATTTTTACTGAATTTTCAAGACCCACAGAATATTGTGTACTATGTTTTGCTTCACTGCAATCCCCAGTCGAGTAGAGGGAAGTTTTATTCATAGAGCAATGCTGCCATCTGCTGGCTTGAATTAACGCGTTAATTTTGACAGCCCTAGTAAATTCATACAATTATGATTAAGTATATTGTGTATCATGTAGATATTTATTCTGGGATACTGTTACTGGCTTATTATAATGTCAGGTCCAGTTATTCATAGTGTAATACTCCCAGGTAAGTAATGCTTGAACAGTGCTCTTCAAGATGCTTTTATTGACAAGCTGACAGAACAAGCTGCTGTTAGCCACTGCTCACGCTTAACTCAGAAACTTACAACATACACTACCGTTGTGTCAACTGGTGAGGAAAATCCCCCACCCCTGAAAAGCTCTACCATAACCAGAGCGCCCCCCCCTGTGGTAGTAAACAGACAACACAGAACTATTAAAATTGATAAAGGTCATGTTATTGTTGTGATGAAAATGCAATGTTGTGCAAGTACAATACATAACTTTTCACACTTCGAAACATGGATCAATACCCCCTTCAGTTACATTTAGATGGGGGCTAGATGGTCATAGTAGATAGCACTTTCAAAATGATGACCTATTGTTATGTAAATAATACCTATTCCCTTTTCATACATGTTTTATCATGTGATTTCAGGTTCACCACAGCCAAGCACTGTCTGAACCTCCCCTAAAGCCCTGGGTGTCTCTCCAGAAGGATGGTACAGTGTTGTGTGGCCACTGCACATGTAAAGCAGGCCTGGGAGAGGTGTGCTCACACATCACAGCCTTGCTCTATGCCCTTGAGTCTGCAGTAAAATTCCTTCAAGATCGAAGTTGCACTGATGGGCCAAGACAATGGGGACATCTTCCAGTGAAAGCAGGCAAAGCACTCTATGAAGAAGGGTTAGGAATTGACTTCACAAATCCGTCCAAAAAGCAAGCTGGAGTATCTAAGAAAAAAACATCAAAACAGAAACATACAGCGAGTGTGTCTGAAGGTGCCATAGCAAAGTTCTACCAAGATCTGGATAGTGCATCCCAAAGTCCTTCAGAGAAGAGTGGTCTCCTGAGTGTGCTACCAAAGTTCTGTGAGCAGTTCCAACCCAGAGTGTTATCCTTAAGTCTTCCACAGCCCCTAACAGAGTTGTACAACCCTCATCACCGTAAGCTGTCTGCTTCCGACCTAATGGTGAAATGCGATGATGCTTTCATCAACATAGAGGTCACACCCGAACAGGTACATATGAATCGATTCAGCCTATTAATTGATTGTATCATAATATATGATTTATCTTTTTGCATATTAAATGTTGTAGGCAGTACATGTTGAGGAAGAGACACGACAACAGGGACAGTCAAAGCTATGGTTTGACTTGAGGGCTGGTAGAGTGACAGCCTCAAGATTCAAGTCAGCAGCAAGAACAGATCCATCTAATCCATCCAAGTCACTCATCAGGCAGATTTGCTACCCAAGCCAGTGTGGTGTTTCTACTGCTGCTACAAGGCACGAGTGCTATGACTCAAACACACAGATGTTGTTTATTATGTTAAAGCCGGAGTACGTAGTAGTTATTGATTCACAAATACATGTTGTTTATCAGAACAGAAAGAAACTTAAAGGAATAGTTCACCGTTTTTACATACTGACATATGTTCTTACTTTTACCTTAGACTAGTTGATATGTGCCTGTCTGGTCTTTGTCCGTGCGCTCTGTCATGCAAACGGAGCACAAACGAGCTGATTTGGTACTATAAGCAATACAGAGGAGCGCTTGTCCAATCACCCTCTCCACATGTATGCGCACAGCAGCAAGTCTTCGGGTGTCCTCCAGTTCAACTGCTCCGAGCTGTTTTTTTCCTCGTGTAAAGGCAGGGGTTTCAACTTTGGCACAATACAGACCAACCAAGTTCTGAATTGTAAAGCCTCGATCAGCAAGGATTAAGTCACCTGGTGAAAGGTTGTCCAAAAAGCCACTGTGCTCTGTGATGTATGCATCTGTTGTTCGACCACCCCAGCCCCTTGAGATGAAGGAGATAGTGCCTTGTGGAGTGATACTAACAAGGTATTTAATTGTGTTGTGGGATTTATACTGCGAATATGTCTGCGCCCTTGCCTTCAAATCCTTAGGTTTATCCATGAATATCTCAAAACAGTCAATGACTGCCATACAATGCTGAAAAGACTTTCTGAAACACATGGGCATGGACACTTTAACATGTTCTCTCTGGGGCCATATTACACACAAAGGAACTAATATATCATTGAGAATATGTATGACATTTGAAAAGACTCTAGAAATAGTTGAGGAGTGAACTTCAAAGAGATATGATAAAAAAGAATTTGGTATGTTGAGTTTGACTTTCATTAATGTAATTAGTAGCTGTTGGAAACTTGTCAAATTTATAGTGTCTTTGAGAGCTGGACTAACAAGGTTGAACACTGCCATGAATACTTCATAGCTGTGTAGTCCAGTCAGTGACTTCAGCTTGTCCTTGTTTTTCAAGCCATTCTGTTCAAAGATGTTAACATGTAGCCTCTGTTTAAGTTCAAATGTTTCCTTTCGAAGCATCTGACACTCCAGTGTTAACGACTCTATATGTTTTGAGGTCAGGTCAGTTTGGCACATTGCTTCACCTTCAGGCATGTCATTCTCAGTGAGCTGAGTGGTCATCTCGCTCATCTCTGATGAGAAGTCCGGGAGTGCCATAGCCGCCTCGCTTCTTGAAGACAGCAGGAGTTTCTTCTTCTTCAAGTTCTGTCTCACCTTGAACTTCTCAAGGCTTTGCACAGCACGTCTCCTTGCAGGGGACTTTGTATGTGCAAATACTGAAGGTACATAATCAGGTGACAGGGGATCATCACTCTTCTGTCCTGGAAAAGAGACATGGGTTCCTTATTTACAACAAAGTAGTAATTTACACACACGTATGATGTGTGGTAACGGTTACATCTACAGTGTAAATGTTGCTGGTATCATTAGCGCATTAGCAAAAAGTTCACTTTTCTGTCTGCAGCCAATCATGCTAGCTACATATTGATGGAGAGGAAAATAGTGAGCTACAGCAACAACCGTTAGATGTGTCATTGTCCTCCAAAAGCATGAATGGAAAGACAATAAATACAAAATCGTAATTTATTTACCTTGTAAAAAGTGTTCACTGCAAATACGGGAGTACTTGGATGGCTCCCAGTCTTTGCGGTTGATTGCCGCCAACCATCGCCGTCTTCTATCTTCATCACGAGTAGGAATCAGGTAGAAGGAAACATTTGGCTTGTGTCCTTGCCTGTTTGTACACCCCACCGCACTGCACGATATGACCATGTTGGCTCTTATGTGGTGAAACGGTCAAGTTTCCGATGTTCGCGGTAAAATGAATAGCAGTCCAGGCTTAAATAGCGATACTTCCGCCGTCTGTCAAGGTGAGGGGGCGTGGCCGTGACGTCACATGCACTGGGTCTGCAGGGCCGTGTGCAGACGGCAGAGGAAACAGCAACAGGCCTAAAGCAAAGAGTTACACGGAGCAAAAGAGTCACCCTTTTTTCTTCTTTTGCCAGACTGAGAATAAAGTTATAAAATGTTGACTTAAAAGTCGAAATATTATGATAATAAAGTCGAACTAGCAAAATTATGAGATTAATCTAAGAATATGATGAGATTAATCTCAAAATGTTATGAGCTTAATTTAAAAATATATTATGTATTATTTTAAAGATGAATCTCAAAATGTTTTGAGATTAATCTCAAAATATTTTGGACCCTGGGAGGAGATCCAGCGCGGACCAGCGCTGAGACCAATGCAGACCCGAGGAGAGACTGGAGTGACCAGCACACAGAAACCAGCGCGGACAGGAGAGACCGCATAGACTGGAGTGACCTGACTGGAGAGACCGGTGCGCAGAGACCAGCGCGGACCGAAGAGAGACCGCATAGACCAGACTTGAGAGACCAGCGCGGACCCGTATGGATCCAGGAGCGTACAGCACGGACCCGTATGGAGAGACCAGTGCAGACCCGTATAGATCCATGGGAGAGACCAGTGCAGACCCGTATAGATCCATAGGAGAGACCAGCGCAGACCTGTATAGATCCATAGGAGAGACCAGCGCAGAGACTCAGCGCGGACCCAGTAACCTCCTGCAGCAGCAGTATATATGCCGTTGTTCTGTGGCCCGTGGATAAAGAAATGCCCCCTATAAATAGGAAGGGGTCACTAATACACGGCAAGATTTCCAATGTATTTGATAAAGCGTTGGCACATTTCATTTCAAAATGAATTAAAAAGTAGGCCAGATCTGCAGTGAAAAAGGCGGTATATAAATAAAGATTACTAATAAAGATTACTACAAATAAATAAATACATACATCGATATGACGGACATATCACTGGAATGTTGTATTTTTATTAAACTTCACCAAAGAGGACAACCCCGGCGTGTGAACATGTCGGCACTGAATGCGTACGAGTGCTCCTGAGGACTCGTAGGATTTGTACTTGCCCAAGAGAAATTCTGGCTACGAGAAAAATTCGTGAATGCCACTTTCTTTGTAAAAACCTCGTAAGTAGGATTTACGTACAAATCTGTTCCTAAGAACCGTTCGTGAATGAGGCCCAATATTCTTAGACCTTCGCAAAGCATTTGACACCGTTAGTCACCCCACGTTACTTACAAAATTAACCAAATTCAAACTGTCTGTTAATACTCTGGCCTGGATTAAGTCTTACCTATCTGGCCGGAGTCAATGTGTCCGAATCAGTAACACCACATCCAACATCAGTGCTACTGACATCGGCCCTCTGCTCTTCTCACTGTATATAAATGACCTGCCATCTGTATGTGAGGATGTCAAAATCCAGATGTATGCAGATGATACGGTCATCTATACATGGGGAAGGGACGCTCAAACAGTAGCCAATAAACTGACTGTAGCAATGGAGAAGGTTGCAACATGGCTACATGAATCCTGTCTCACATTAAACATCAGTAAAACAGCAACAATGTATTTTGTAAATAAAAACAAAACAACCGTGTTTCCAAACATAACCGTAAAAGGGGAGGTGGTAAAAAATGTTAATGAATATCGTTACCTGGGTTTAATTTTAGATCCCACCCTCAGCTTTAAAAAAACATATCAAACAGATGAGCCTTAGCCTCAAATACACCATAAAAACTTTCAAATGTATCAGGAACTCACTAACACTGGAGGGAGCCCAAACTTATTTTAATGCAATGATCATGTCTCGTTTTTATTATTGTATAACCTGTTGGTCCCAGGCAAATAAAACCACTCTGAGGTCATTGGAAACTCTGCACAAACAGTCACTTAAGATCCTCGACCGGAAACCACGACATCACCATCACTGTTTAGTTCTACAAAATCACAGACTTTTAAATTTTGACAATATTCAAAGATATGCATCCATACGATTGGCTCACAGAATACTAAACAACACCGCACCAGCTCCACTCAAACACTTAGTTCTGTTCACATCTTCTGCGACAACTGGAACCACACGAGCCTCCACCAGGGGGCAGTGCAGCATACCCAGGTGTAAAACTGCTTTGGCCCAATCAGCAGTTTCATATACAGCAATAAAGGAATGGAACGAGCTCACTACAGACCTGAAGAGTCAATCAGACTATTCTACATTTACAGCAGAACTTAAAAAATGGTTATGGAGCAATCAAAGCTGCTCACACGAACCCTGAGGTGTGTGACCAGGACGACTGATGTGTGTGAACTATGTATGATTAGAAACTGATGTATGTGATTTATGTATGATGAGAAATGTACTGAATTTGTTAATGTATCATCTGAATGTGTGGTTGTATTGTGTAGGTGTGATGCTGTGAATGAAGTGTGGTTTTAACAAACAGGTATGAGGCTAAATGTGTGTGTCTGTATTAGAGAGAATGTGTTGTATTGCAATGTTATTTTTTTAGGATTGTGCATTACTGTATACATGTATTTTATTGATGTAACCAGGGACTGCAGATGGAAACTAGCTTTTTAGCTATAATCTGGTGCAGAACATATCTGTCTTTGAGCTTAATGTCTCTGTACACTGTCCCTTCAAATAAAGACTAAACTAAACATCGAGGGCCTGATGGTCGACTGCGGGGCAACCGCGCATATAATTACGTATCTCGCAAAGTTTTAAGAGGTTCGAACAAGCATTCCAGGCCAAGACACACTGCGTGGAGCTGGCTGATGGGACAAGGTGCCAGGGGGTAGCAGTGCGCCGCGGAGATGCTGAGGTCTGTTTGATTGACAGCTGTGGCAGGCATCTGCGCAGCACGCTGAGACGAGCACTGTACATCCCTTCCTATCCACAAGACATATTTTCGGTGAAAGCAGCCACTTTGAACGGGGCCACTGTGACGGGTATGGCACTGCCGAGCGAAATTGCCGTACCCTTTTTGATACAAGAATGTTAATTGACAGTGGTCTTCCAAAGGAACTGTGGACTCATGCGGTTCAGACCGCCGCTATTGTGAGAAACAGATGTTATAATAAACGCATAAAGCAGACTCCATTTGAAGCACTTACAGGTCGAAAATGTTTTGTGTATAAACAAGACAAAAGGAAGTTGGATCCAAAAAGTGAAAAGTGTGTATTTATTGGACATGAAAAAAACAGCCCGGCATATGTTGTCTATTTTCCTGACACTAAGAAAGTGCAGAAGCACAGGCTGATACAATTTGTGACTAAAACATGGTGTAGAACAGCAGACTAACTTTACACCTGCTGATTTTGTGCAATACGAATCGAGAAGTCCAGGTTACCGTGTTCCAAGTGGACTAAAATCTGAAGAGATCAGTGAACAATCAGAATTTAGCCCACATGAAACACAGCCAGTAGAGGGCGAGCGTGAGACTGAGCCCGAGCCCAGACGGTATCCTGTGAGAGAATGCAAGACAGATACACAGACTGCAAAGTATCTAACTCTATTTCTGATGAGACCGATCTAGTCCAGAGTAACATTGATTACTGTTATAGAGTTATTTTCAACATACCTGTCTCATTTACAGAAGCAGTAGCCTCAGAAAGATCCAAAGAGTGGATCCAAGTAATGGATGAGGAAATGTAGTCACTTAGAGAGAATGAGACATTCACGCTAACCAGCTTGCCCAAGGGTAAGAGAGCAGTGGGGGGTAGATGGGTGTATGCTATTGAAAATTATATCAACGGGTCTGAGAAGTATAAAGCCCGATTTGTTGCAAAAGGGTACAGTCAAAAGACGGATGTTGACTATGAGGAGACATTTTCCCCCACAGCCAACCTCACAAGTATCCGAGTATTAATGCAGAAAGTAGCTCAGGAAAATTTGATTTTACACCAGATGGATGTAAAAACTGCATGCACCAATAGACCGTGAGATATATATGGAGCAGCCTGAGGGGTATGTGGTCAAATCTCACAAAAAGGAAACGTTGGTGTGTAAATTACAGAAGTCACTGTATGGGCTGAAACAATCGGGCAGAAATTGGTACAAAGTTTTAAATGATTACCTGACTCAAAATAATTATACCCAGAACACTGTGTTTATGTCAGAGAAACAAAGTGTGATAAGGTTGTCATGGTTATTTGGGTTGATGACCTAATCATTGCAGCAAGTGATGTAAATGCATTGAATGTGGTGAAGAACATGCTTACAGCAAGGTTTAAAATGAAGGACTTGGGGAGACTTGGACACTTTCTTGGCATTGATTTTAACCTGAGTGATGGCTGTAACAATGACACAGGAAAAATATGTCATGAAAATTCTGAAAAGGTTCAATATGGAGGATTGTAAACCTAGATCCACACCCTGTGAACAAAAGGCTCCAATAACGAGTGATGTTAAAAAATACAGGGAAGCAGTGGGAAGTCTCATCTATTTAACTGTTTGTACCAGACCTGATTTAAGCTTTGTTGTAAGTAAACTGTCACAGTATTTCTCCAAACCAACTGAACATCAGTGGGGTACAGTTATGCTGCGTTCAGACCAAACGCAATTTGGGCGGCGAAATCGCCCGTGCCGCGCGTGCCGCAATGCTTGTGCTTTTTGACTCCAGACGCTGGACCAAACACTCTGCCGCGCGGCACGCGCGGCCGATCAGAAAACAGCGCGCTTTGGAGAGGGACTTCTCTATTGCCATAGTTCAACATGGACGACATAGAGCAGGTAGCTTTGCTTTGCCTTTTGAACCGTGCTAGACAACGTCATCAAAGGGCGCAACGGCGACGTGTGTGGATTCATCCGATTGTCCGCGGGCGTAGGGAGTTTGGTGAGTTTCACCATTTGCTACAAGAGCTGCGCTCGGATGAGAGTCGCTTTC